AAAGCCTGTTCCAACTTCTCTCTCTTACAACACACAAGCATATTTGCCCAAACAGGCATTTCTCTTCCGAGCATCTTTTATGGAAATACAGTAGTCCCCCCTTATGTGCGGGGTACATGTTCCAAGACCCCCAGTGGATGCCTGAGCCCACAGATAGTACCAAACACCATATAAACCACGTTTTTTCCTATCATTACATACCAATGATGAAGTTTAATTTATAAATCAGGCACAGTAAGAGATTAGCAATAATATATAATAATAAAATAAAACAATTATAACAATATACTATCATAAAAGTTATGTGAATGTGGTCTCTCTCTCTCTCTCTCTCTTAAAATGTCTTACTGTACTGTACTCACTCTTCTTTTTGTGGTTATGCAAGATGACAAAATGCCTATGTGATGAGATGAAGTGAGGTGAATTGAAGTAGGCATCATGACATAGGGTTAGGCTGTATTCACCTGATGATTCATCAAAGGAAGATCATCTGCTTCTGCACCATGGGTAACTGGAACCACAGATAAGAGGGGACCCCTGCATTCTGCCAAGTGAAGTGTGCTGGTCGTCAGGATATCATCTCTCAACTAATCCATCCTTATAGCCTCTACTCTGCAATGCTGGGTCTGGAGATCTGTGAACCACATTTCTCCTTTGCCAACTGGATGCTCCATGAATAGGGAGGCTGGAAGGAAGAAAGGGGAAGAAGGGATGCCTTCCTCTTATTTGCTTGCTCTTCTGGGTACCATCACTCCAGCAATGCCTTGGCAGGGGCAGGGGGTTACACCAGCAGTGTTCTTCTAGGTTCTAATAACCTTGTACTCTTCCCTCTGTTCCTTAACTGTTTCATACAGTTACTATTTCTGTGTTAACTCAAGTGTTCCCTTTTTGCATTTTTAGTTCTCCCATACTGTCTAAAAAATTCTAAGATAAACTTGTGCAGTTTCTGTTGTCCTGCCTGAATCTTGACTGTTACATATGGTGTATAAGATTATTTTAAATGGTACCAAGTTGAACATTTGAAAAATACTTGAATGGGTATTTAGCATAATGTATATTATGAAAAGAGATATATGACTAACACACCAAACTCATTAGCTCTTAGATATTATTGCTTAAGATTAAAAAAATAAATTAAGAATGAGCTGACTTAAAGAACAATGTTAGGCAAATCATAGAACAAATGGCACATAGCCAAAATAGTGAAGGTGGTCATGAAAGTTTGAAAGTATGAAGTAAGGCACGTCCCTCTTGCCCATTACTCTAATAAAATAGCTCTTTAAGCAGGAAAATTACCTTGATTCCAAAGAAGAATCAAGAATCAAAGCCATGAAGTCAGATTTCCTGCATTTCCTTACGTTCCCAAGTCTAAGTGTGATGTTACCAGGATTGAGGGTTCCAAAGGCAGCAGCCAAACCTGGCCTTTCCATGGCACTGGAAGTCCAGCCAATTGCTGACTTTTCACTGGATTGGGAGGATGAGGTTTACATATTCAGATCAACCAACACCTAAGAAGTTTGGCCACCATTTTGAAAGGCTTTCCCTTAGTTACGCAGAAGCAGTGCTGCACAAAAGAAACCAGTGGAGTTGCTAAACTTGGGGGCTCAGATTTCTGTGTTCTATAATCATTAAGTTGTTGGACTCTGAGTCCCTTTTCTGGCAGCACTCTGAAGGTCAAATGTCAGACATGGGAAGACTGTGTAGCAAGGTCAGCAGAGGGAGGTCCACTCAAATGTCTTACCTGTAGCTAACAAGGAAAACCTGTAATGACATCCTGTTCTGAGAGATCTAACGCCACCTCCTCTTGCTTTAGTGATGAGGATTTGAGGTAGTTATTTTTGTTCCAAGCAACCCCAGATGGGGAGAAAGTCAACCCACACAGTCGGGAGAGGGGGACTAATCATTCAAGTAAGAGACTCCAACAGTTACAGAGGTGGCCAGACCTAATGAGGTTAGCCCAGTGGGAACTGTGCATCTGAAATATGACTTTTGTATTATGTGAAAATGAGTAGAGAAGAAGTACAGTGGACACTTGGTGTGAGACACGTGTCTCTGGAAGCACTTTAGCAGAGGCAAACTTGGAGACATGTCCCTCCATGACTGACACTCAGTGTCATGGGCTTTAATTTTATTTCACTTCTGAGAGAAAGGTTGATGTAGGTGAACTACAGACAGAAAGGAAGGGGATATGAAGACCTATTTGATTTATACCTGAATATGACAGCAAAAACTTTTCAACTTAGACATTCAGTCCTACACAGACTTCTTAATCTTCAGAGAGATTCTGATGTGCTAAAATTTTCTGGTTGAATGTTTTCCTCTAGGAAACAATCCTTTAGGAACAGAGGTCCAGAGTTAGAGGCAAAAGCAATTCAGAACCACAATTTTTCTGAGATACCTAACAGTTCACTTGGAATGATCAATATGATAAAAAAATGGTTCCTTGGTTTCTGCACTGATTTTAATCTTTTTGGAATTATTTCTACACAGTGTCTTAAAAAGGACCAGGCTTGATATTGATAGGTTTTCCTGAGTGTCTCACTGCCAAAACTTTTTCTAAAAGCATTATTTTCTTGATCACTAAAGTTTGCCATGTGCCCCTGGATGAAGCGCATCAGGACAACTTTCTCGTTCTGAATTATTTTTGACTTGTTCCTTTTCTCTTCCTTATATCTAATTTGTTCTCAAGTCCCACATACCAGGTCCATTCACTCAAAAAATGTTTCATTTGCTCAAAAACTGTTTATTGAATGCTTAGTATGTGCCACTTTCTCCCCCATTCAGGAAACACTTATCCTCTAAGTTTTCATTCAGTGCTCTTTACTGGGAGTTCTTAGCATCCTGTGACATGAGGGATCTGTCATTCGCAGAAAAGGTTGCTGACATCTTTGGCATCAAGGATCACTTAGATTAATAACATTGTCTCTCTTATACCCAAGCATAAATATGATAACTGTCAGGTTTACATATATCCATCAATTTAAATGGGTAAATAAAAACAACACTAATTTCCATCTATTAAACATGCAATATGCCACTACATCAAAAACTAATGATGTATGGTGATTAACATAACAATAGAAAATAAAAAAAACATGCAATATGCCAGGTACTCTTGTGGTCACCTAGCAAAGATGACATGGACACCCCCCCAGTTTAGTCCAGATGTCAAGATTGATGATGCCACACATGTACCAAGGGGTAGGAAAAGTTTTAATTCTTACATAATGAGGCTTTCTAGGGAGAGCAGGACAGACTCTCCAGCAGGTCCAAAAATGGCCTGACAGAGAGCAGGGAGAGGAGACTGGCTTAGCATTTATGGTAGTTAGGAGTAGGGTTGGGGTGAGGGGTCTTATGTGAGGGCTAGGCTTACAACTTCCAGCTGGCTCCAAAGGAGAGAGCATCTAGCCTTCCTTATCAGCTTGCTTAGATTTGGGGCAGAAGGGGATGAGGGAGGGGTAGTTTTGGAAGATGTCAGCAGTCAAACATCAGAAATGAAGGCAGACTCTTTATTATAATTCACCCTTGATGTTTGACTAATGACTGAAATGTGCTATGTTTCATTTAATTGAGTTTGAGCTTGTTTAATTAAGCACTAATAGTTCTCTATGAGCCTGTATCTTGAGATCAGCAGGGGAGATGAAAGTTTCATAGAATGAATCATTAAAGAGCCCAGCATTGTGTATTTTGAGAATTGAAATGAGTGCTTTGGTCAAAACTTCAAAGGAGATAAAAAATGTCTTGGTGAGGCCTTGTACTGTGGCTTTAGTATATACAGAGACATGTGTGACCTTGATTTATATTTTGGGGATCTGTGAGGCAAGAGATTCATGGAGTTCCCTTTACCCCAAAGGGGTTAACTTTGGATGAGGAATTGTTTGTGCCATTGGCAAGACCAAGGGCCAGATCATTGGCAATGGTCCACGAGTCTAAAAAAGTGTGCAGATGGGGCTGATTGTTAGCCAGGGCATTCAGTGCTCAGATAACTTTCTGAAGTTCAGTGAATTGTGCTGACTCTTGGGTCCCATCCTTTTTTAGGGATGTCCTTATTAGGGATAGGAACGAATAGCTTCCTACTATGTTCCATCACATTGATTGTGGTTATGATCTTGCTTGCCAAGATTATGTGCAATGGCAGGGTAGCTAGGTAAAGCTGTCCCTTTGACAGTGCAGACAAATTGCGAATGAGAGGCTGTTAAAATAAGCACTGAATAGAAGAGATTTAGCAAATCTATGACTGCAAAGTATTTACCAGTTGCTGATTAGAGGAAGTCAGTAATTTAGATAATACTGGATATGGGGGCCTCAGTGGGTAGGACTGTGACATTAAGATTCCAGTATCCATGGTGAGGTACCATTCATTCCTTCCAAGGTTTAGGAACAGGCCAACTTGGGCTATTAAATGGAGCAGTAATGGGGATAATCATTCCCTTCTTTAAAGAGGTGTTGGATAACATGTTTCCATCTTAAATGCCCTGTTTTGATTTATATTGGATCTTATTAAATATTTTAACCAGGGGCAGGGAGGTCTATGGGGCTTCATTTTTGTTAAACTGATTGTAAGTGGCAGAGATTTAATTGAATTTTAATTTATCACTCTTTGAATTCAGAGTGTCCATGCCCACTTTGGGATATTTTAGGGCAACGGGCACTTTGACTGTGGGGAATTTAGGCAAGGCAATATTTCTGACGGTGAAGGAGAGACACACCTTTTTGCTCTTGTATTTTATGTTTAGTGACTCCCATGAGATTATACGGATGACCATGTTTAAATTTAGTGGGATCCTCAGGTAAAGTATAACTTGAGTCTCAGTATTGACTAAGGCTTCCAATTGGCGTATCTCAGTAGATATTCAGTCAATTCAGAACCTATGCTGTAAGGTTGTAAAAGCCAATCTACTCCTTTTTACCTTTTTATTCTATAAATTCTTTTAGTAAATTTTGGATTTCCAGTTGGGCCAAATCTCTGTTTCTGTTGTTTTATTTCCTTCTCTATCCAGGTGGTATCACGATCACGATCATGATCATCATTATCATCATCATCACCTGGTGGTGGTTCCTATACTTTGGTGAGTGGGTCATCTCTACCTTGCTCATATTTAGAAATTTCTTCCTCCAGAGACCCTCAAATTAGTATTGTCAGGATTAGGGGCCTCCCCCCATGGAGATGATTGCTTTATGGAGTTTTAGGACCCATAGCTTAAGTAGTATTTAAATTAACCCTTTGTGCCACGGAGGTGCTATGAGTGTTTTTTTCTATAACCGTGAGGACAAAACTTGTTATGACAGAGGCATATGCAGCCACAAAAGCATTTTTAGGGGTATGACCTGAGGATATTCTTCCACATGAGTGACCACCCAAAAGGCATGCATAGTGTGTAGGGTATCAGTTTTTCCCCTGAGCCCTCCAGGGAGCTAAAGCCTGGCTGAGACACACACAATGGTCACAGGGTAAGAGTCATTCCCCCAAACCTAGCAGCAGTAATGGGTGATGCTGGAATGGAGACTCAATTCCATCTGAGTCCAGGCCAAGACACATGGGTCCAGGCCAAGACACATGACCCAGGGCTACTTTATGGAGGGCCCCAATCCCATACTCCTGTTCCTAAATGCCAATTATTATTGACTTGGGTTGGTTAAGTATAACAGAGCCTTGAAGAACTCAGCAGATGTGGCACAAAGCAGTTCAGCTCAAAGTGCAAGCTAGCCAGCAGGCAGCAACACAACTCAAAGAAGACACTGGGCAACAGCAGCTTGTAATGCATGCTTTCCAGCAACAGAGAGCCAGTTTGCAAGCCACAGTGAGAGAAGAAAGACCCTCACTGGAGGTGGCATTGCCTAGACATCCTGCTAACTGTGCCACTTCTTGTGGTCACCTGGAAGCAGCGGTATGGACTCCATCGGTCAATATTTGGTTCATATGCACACACACACAAGAGGGTATGACAAGGTTTATTCCTCAAATAACAAGGCTTTCTTGGGGAAAGCAGGGCAAGCTTCCCAAGTAGGTACAAAATGTCTTGAGAGAGCAAAGAATGGAGACTGTCTCGGCTTTTATGGTGGTTAGGGGTAGGGTGGGGATGAGGGCTCCCACCCACCTGCCAGGGCTTCTGTGGTGTGAACATCTTGCTGTCACCAAAGGAAGGAACACCCAGGCTTGCTTATCAGCTTGCTGAGATATGAGTCCAAAGCAGAAGGGGAACGGGTAGAGCTTGAAGGCTGTCAAGGTCAAAATGAAAATTGGAGTCAGACTCTTTAGTGCAGATTTGTTATCTCCTTTAATTTCCATTTTACAGATGAGGTAACAGCTTTAGAAAGATTAAATAGGCCACATAGCTATTAAAGAAGTAAAATAAATAGTGGATCTGGAAGTCAAACCCAGGCCCATCTGACTTCCAAAACTGTTCACTTGACCACTATGCTACATTGCCTCCCCAGAGGAAAATAAAGAGTCCTACCACTCACAATCTGAGCGTCTCAAATGTCACAAAGGGAGTATCATTCATCACTGGAGAGCCCTATCCATAAATAAGGAGTTGGACAAAGAGTCTAAAAATGGTGGTGGGAGGGCGCCTGGATGGCTCAGTCAGTTAAGCATCTGCCTTGGTTCGGGTCATGATCCGAGCCTGCTTCTTCCTCTCCTGCCTGCTTATGCTCTCTCTATGTCCCTCTGTTTCTCTCTCTCTCAAATAAATGAAGTCTTAAAAAAAAAATGGTGGGAAGGGTGGAAAATATGGGCCATTTTGGGCTTGAAATATATGTTGACTGTAATCTATCATTTGGTCTGGTTGCTCAGAACAGCTCACAACAGGGATGCTGGGGTGGCTTAGTTGGTTAAGCACCTACCTTCTGCTCAGGTCCTGATACCAGGGTCCTGGGATCGAGTCCCACATCGAGCCCCACATCGGGCTCCCTGCTCAGCGTGGAGCCTGCTTCTCCATCCCCCCCCCCTGCTTGTGCTCTCTCTCTCTCTCAAATAAATAAAAGCTTTTTAAAAATAAAAAAAAAACAGCTCATAACAATTCCATTCAATTATTTGTAAAGCAGCAATAGGCCAGTCAATATTAATTGCAGAGTTTCTTAACCTCAGACAGGAGAGGGGAGGGCCAGATTTGGGGCCTGTGGGTGAGCAGCAAGTATTCTATGAATCAGACACACACACATACAGGCACACAAATACACATGCATGCATGATGCTTTTCTTCCATTTTTCTTTCTGTCATTTGGAATAGGGTCATCTTTGGGAAAAAAAAGTTGTGGTCAAATTATATAATGAAGGTGTTGTTTCATTCCAAACAATTGTTCTGTAGAATGGGGTGGTTGCTCAGTAAGGTGATACACTAAGTTTATGGTTGTCACCTGTCTATACCTAGATTAATTTCTCTGATAGAAATGAAAGAAGGTTTACGTTGCCATAATGCTTAAGGAAATCATAAGCTTAGCCCATTTGGGAAGTATCATGAAATAAAAGCATGAAGCGACTTCCGTATCCCTTGATTTTAATTTTATTACTGAACATAATGGGTCACTAAAGCCATAATGGTTCTTGGAATGTGAATTACTTGTCAGTGGGTTCATGGAACAAAGCTGAAGGAGCACCTTCCTTTTCAGCATCCGCATATAGTATCTTGCAGTGTAGGTATGTTTCCTGGGAAGAAGGTTAGATTTGAAAAGGATGAAACTTCCCCTGAACTTGCCTTTGTCCCTGCCCCAAAGCCAGATGTGGGACCATTCTATAACTCTGCCTCTTACATTGCCAAGCAACAAAATATCTGTGCAATAGGGGATGTCTTGGGAAAAACCTGTGCTCTCGCAGTGACCAAACTGGTTTATGACTTGGAGCAGAGACACCAATAAAACAGTGTCTCTATCAAAGAACCTTACCTACTCTAAGAGACAGACATTTCTTCCTGATATTTGAAAGCAGGAATTGCAGCTACTCCTCTCCCTCAGCCTGCAATTGCACGAAAATACTTAACACTTTTCAGTGTGGAGCTACTACTCTTCATCTGTTATGTGCCCTCCGGTGTCATCAGAAGAAACGTTTTCTTTTGGTGGGTCCCTTTGGAGACATTAATGGCTGAAAAGTTTTTTTTTTTTTTTTCAGGCGTAACTTTAACTGGAAAAAAATCTGGGCATGGAAGGGAGCATCTGTCATGCTTGACAACACATGGCTTCTTCCTTTGGTGGAGACATTGCATGCTTCATTACAGTCTACGTTGGTATCAAAGACTCGGCCAAAATCTTGAAAGGAGTCTTGTCTAGTGTCATAAAAGCTGGTCTTTTCAGGAGTTTTTGTAACAAAATGCATGCATAATATTATGTTCATCTTGTTTAAACACAAGTGTGTTGCCTCTCCAGAAAACAAATCCCCAACCTCTTGCTTGAATATTGAACAGAATTTTCACCTTTTGGAGGGAATGAAAAGCCCCCTTGCAGAACAATGTGGCAGCAAATTCTTTCACCACTGGACTTACTTGGAGGGCCTTACTGGCCAACTGAATGAAGCAGGTATTTCCACTCAAGGTCCTTCAGTTACCATTATGGATGTTGCAGAAAAACTGTGAGCTCTTTCAGCCTCTCCAAAGTGTTGAGAGAGATAAGCCTTACTCATTTCTTGGTGTGTTAAAATCTGAACACACTTAGGAATGCTGAGGAACTAAATAGATTCTGGTACCAATTCTGATGTGGGGGGTATTCCCATACCAGCAAGCAATTCTCTGACACAGCTAGGTGTCCTATAATCCAACTGAATTCAGACACGAGATACCTAGAGATAGCATCACATTCCATGGGTTAAGGCTCAGTCCTACAAGACTGCCTCCCCATCACTTCAGATGCTGGTCACAAGCCCAGTTGTTACCTGTACTTCTGACCAAATGGCTAAAAAGCAGAGATTCCCAAGAGCCCCTCCTCAACTTCAACTAATTTGCTAAGGTGGCTCACAGAACTCAGAGAAACATTTTACTTACTAATCACCACTTTATTATTAAAGGATGTAACTCAGGAACAGCCAGATGGCAGGGTTGTGTAGGGCAAAGTATGAGGAAAGGAGCATGGAGCTTCCATACCCTCCCCGAGCTTGGCACCTCCACGTGTTCACTAACCCGGAAGCTCTCTGAACCCAGTCCTTCCGGATTTTTATGGAGGCTTCATTACATAAGCACGATTGATTAAATCATTGGCCATAGGTGACTGATTCAACTTCCAGCCTCTCTCTCCTCCCTGGAGCTGGAGTAGGGGTTGGAACTTTCCCAACCCTCTTTTTTAAAATTTAATTTGATTTTTTTATTTAGAAAGGGAGAGAAGGGGGAGGGGCAGAGGGAGAGGAAGAGAATCTCCCCCCCCACCAAAGATTTTTATTTATTCATTTGAGAGAGGGACAGAGAGAGCACAAGCAGGGGGAGAGGCAGAGGGAGAGGGAGAAGCAGGCTCCCTGCTGAGCTGGGGTCCCGACATGGGGCAAGATCCCAGGACCCTGAAATCATGACCTGAGCCAAAGGCAGACACCCAACCATCTGAGCCACCCAGGTGTCCCGGAGATAGAGAATCTTAAGCAGGCTCCATGCCCAGCACATGGCCTACCCCGGCTGCCACGCGCTGCCAGGGGCTGCCGGGCCTAATCTCGTGAGATCATGACCTGAGCCCAAATCAAGAGTCAGATACTTAATTGACTGTGCCACCCAAGGTGTCCCTGAAAGTCTCAATCCTCTAATCACAGGGCTGGTTCTCCTGGCAACCAGCCCCTATTCTTCTGCGTGGGTCCAAAAGGTAACTCATTTTAACATAACAAAAGACACCTTGATTGCTCTGATCACTTAGGAAATTCCAAGGGTTTTAGGAGCTCTGTGCCAGGAATGGGACAAGACCAAATATATATTTCTTATTATAAATAATATCACAGGAACTCATTGAGGGTGTGAAAAGTGCTAAAAGGAAACCTCACTTAGAATGGAGGGGGGGGCGCCTGAGTGGCTCAGTCGTTGAGCGTCTGCCTTCGGATCCCGTCATGATCCCAGGGTTCTGGGGCTCCCTGCTCCGCGGGAAGCCTGCTTCTCCCACTACCACTCCCTCTGCTTGTGTTCCCTCCTTCATGTGTCTCTGTCAAACAAATAAATAAAATCTTTAAAAAAAAAAGAATGGAGTCGGGAGGCAGGCGGAGCTTTCACACTCTACCGCTTCTTCTCAACTGCAGATCCAAGAGGAAGAGATGCACCTTGCACAAGGGAAGGAGGAAAGGCTTGCCTCCTGTCCTGGCAACAGCCCAGCCAATGAGAGACTCTCACAACTCAGCCAATGAGAAGCCACTATACTTAGAACTCCCAGTTTACTCCAATGGACTCTTTGTTTATAAGAGGCCCACTAACTCCTCCCCTTTCCTCTATTAAAAAAAAACAACAACCCCAAACTCCTTTCCTTTGTTCTGAGGACTTGTGGTAGTTTGCTTGTCTAGAGTAAGGTCGTTTTTGCTGGTGAAACACCTGGCAGTTTTATTGTTTAAGGTTAATGTTATTTGGTGATCAGAAGTGGGATCCAGAGAAGACTGGTGCCGGCGCCCACAGAGCCAGCTGAGCTCACTGCTTTCTCGGGGACCCTGGAGTCTGAGGGTAAATTTTCTCCTGGATATCGAGCTCTGCTCTCTTTGTGTCTGAGCTCTACAGGCTTTTATTTATTTATTTATTTATTTTTGAGCGAGGCAGAGAGATGGGGGAGGGGCATCGGGAGAGGGAGAGAGAGAATCCCAAGCAGGCGCCACGCTCAGCGTGAGGCGGACTTGGGGGCTGGATCTCAGGACTCAGATCCTGACCTGAGCTGAAATCAAGAGTTGGCGCTTATGGGGCGCCTGGGTGGCTCAGTCGGTTAAAGGTCTGCCTTCGGCTCAGGTCATGATCCCGGAGTCCCCGGATCGAGCCCCTCTCAGGCTCCCTGCTCAGCGGGGAACCTGCTTCTCCCTCTGTCTGCAGCCCTCCTTGCTTGTGCATGCCATCTCACTCTCTCTGACAAATAAATAAAATCTTAAAAAAAAAAAAGTTGGCGGTTAACCGATTGAGCCACCCCGGTGCTTCACTACAGGCTTTATTTAAAGCGTTGTCCTTCCTCAGTGTACTTGTTTGGCTTTTGGTCCGACTCTTTCTGGGACCAGATTGTGCCCTTTGGAATTATGCTGGGCTTTGGTCTGATCCCTCAGGAACCAGACTGTTCCTGTTGAAACTGTTCTGTTTAGGAATTTTTTCTCTTTGCTCTAGAGAAAAACCTCTAAGAAATGGGATCCCAGTCATCAAAATGCTTGACGATAACTCCTACTGGAACGGCTAAGGAAACGGACCAACTTAACCAGAAGTAATTTAGACCGGCAATGACCATTATGGGGAACATCTGAGCTCACCAAACTTCTTTTACTTAAAATTGAATTAGAAAGCCGTGGCTTCAAAACCAAACAAACTGAATGAGGTACCTATTGTAAATGGTACCTTGAGGCTTCCAAATGTTTTCAGGATTCTAAGTTTGCCTCTTTGCAAAATAGTATTTCTAAATTAACTGAGGCAAACAAATAATTGAAAGAAGTCAAAATGCCTCTGAGGCCTCTTTTCCCCCTCCCCCTCCTCCTGGGATTCCTAACCCTTGGCAGCCACTTGTGCTCAGGCCTTGCCTCCTGTGCCATTTCCCTCTATTCTCTGCTGAACTTCCCTTTCCCTCCAAGCCTCCCCCTGCTCCGTCTTCTCCTGAACCTGTTAAAACCTCCACTTTAAAGTTAAGTCTTCTGAGAATCCAGATAAACCCCCAGGTCTTTATGTTCCCTGCACTAAGGATGAATTGTAGTCATAGTTTTTGTTTGTTTTTAAGATTTTATTTATCGGGGTGGAGGAGGGGCGGGGACCGGGAGAAGCAGGCTCCTGGCCAAGCAAGGAGCTGGATGAGGGACTCGATCCTAGGACCCTAGGATCATGACCCCAGCTGAAGGCAGATGCTTAACCGACTGAGCCACCCAGGTGTCCCTGAATTGCAGCTGTAGTTATAAGAGTTTCCTAACGGGGCTGAGGACTCCCAGAGGTTTGCTTAAGAATGTAGCATAGTAATGTCCACAATAGCCAAACTGTGGAAAGAGCCAAGATGCCCATCGACAGATGAATGGATAAAGAAGATGTGGTATATATACACAATGGAATATTATGCAGCCATCAAAAGGAATGAGATCTTGCCATTTGCAACGACGTGGATGGAACTGGAGGGTGTTATGCTGAGTGAAATAAGTCAATCAGAGAAAGACATGTATCACATGACCTCACTGATATGAGGAATTCTTAATCTCAGGAAACAAACTGAGTGTTACTGGAGTGGTTGGGGGTGGGAGGGATGGGGTGGCTGGGTGATAGACATTGGGGAGGGTATGTGCTACGGTGAGCGCTGTGAATTGTGCAAGACTGTTGAATCACAGATCTGTACTTCTGAAACAAATAACGCAACATATTTTAAGAAAAAAGAAAAAGAAGAAGATAACAGGAGAGGAAGAAAAGGGGAGTATGTCAGAGGGGGAGACGAACCATGAGAGATGATGGACTCTGAAAAACAAACTGAGGGTTCTAGAGGGGAGGGGGGGAGGGGGATGGGTTATCCTGGTGATGGGTATTGAGGAGGGCACGTTCTGCATGGAGCACTGGGTGTTATGAACAAACAATGAATCATGGAACACTGCACCAAAAACTAATGATGTAATATATGGTGATTAACATAACAATAAAAAATTAGAAAAAAAAAAGAATGTAGCATAGTTATCCAAACTTACCAACCTGGCTTCTTTATATGAATGAGTCTACGTGCTTGTTGCTGAAGGTCGGGCCAGCATTGGATAGAACTAGCCCAATGGGAACATCCTGAAGGGGATTTAGAGAAACAAACTCCTGACTTCTGGCAGGAAGTTAGGACACTCACTGGAAATCACCAGTGAGTAGTTACAGTAGCTTCTTCTAAGCCTGTTGATTGGAATAACATTCAGGCTTGCACACAAAAGCCTAATGAACCTGTTCATGACTATTACAACCAACTCCAAGTTGCCTTTAAAGAAAATTCTGGTCTTCCTTTATTTAGATGTTGAAGCCATCAGGATAGCATTTATTTTATTTTTTATTTTTAAAAGATTTTATTTATTTGACAGAGAGCGAAAGAGGGAACACAAACGGGGAATAGGGAGGGAGAAGCAGGCCCGCCGCTGAGCAGGGAGCCTGATGTGGGGCTCGATCCCACTGGGACCATGACCTGAGCCAAAGGCAGACGCTTAACGACTGAGCCACCTAGGCGCCCCAGGGTAGCATTTAATTCTGTGTTTATTAATGGAATGAGTTGGTTTCTTCTTTCCTCTGTTTGGAACAGCCTGCTTCCGGAAGGAATCAGACCAAAGGACCAGGATGGAATGGGAAATTTTGTGCACTTCAGATTTAGTTAATTTGGCAAACCTGCTTGCTCATATCCTAGATGAGCCCACTAAAAGACTGCTAAAGTTCTCAAATTTTTCAGCTCCAGCGGGTGAAGGCCCCTAACCCCTTCTAGTTTCTCCTATTATTGCAAAGAGCCAGGACATTGGTTTAAGATGTTACCAACTTAAGCATTCCAGGCATCTTCCGTGCCCTCTGCTCAGTCTTTCCAGTGGCCTCCCAATTCCCAATGATGGGCTTCAAGGAACTTCCCAGTCCTTACTATTAGTGGCTGGGAGAAACCATTCTCCAGATTAAGAATGAATCTGTCTCTGTCCCTGGTTATACTGGAGCTACACTGTCAGTGCCTCCGGATATTAAGACAGTTCAAATACTGGGGGTCTCTTAATAAACCTCAACAGGTTCCTGTCTCTGAATCTATTCCCTTTTGTCTAGGTCCTTTGAGAGAGATGCACCCTTTTCTCCTTAGTTCCTCAGGCCCTATTTATTAGGCCAAGATTTCTTAGAAGAGTATCTTGCCAGAATTTCTTTCTCCCAAGAGAGGAAAATAATTCTAGAATTTGACAGTAGTAACCAAAATAGCCAACCAGGGGAATTAAATGACCCTTTGACGTCTTTTGATTCCATCTCTGATGTTGCACCATAGCTGAGTCTAGGGATCCTTATCACTGATTCCTGTTGGATCAGCTACCATCTTCTTTATGGGCAGAATCCTCAACTGTTATTGGCAGAATCCACTGTGCACCTCCCATCAAGATTCAGATAGATCCCTCAAAACCGCTTACCGAAATTAATTAATAGCCTATAAAGAAGTCCTTCAAGACAGCGAGCCAATATAGAAGATTATAAAGCTCAAGGTTTCATTATCACCTGTACTAGTCCCTGTAAACACCCCATTTTATCTGTGAGAAAATCCAATGGCTGAAGATGGAGGTTTGTCCTGGACCTACTAGCAATAAATAACATTGTTATCCCTCAATACCCTGTTTTCCTAACCCCCGTATGCTCCTGACATCCACTCCCACTGAAAGCATTTTTTTCATTGCAAATGATATGCTCAGTGCATTTTTAGTATTCCTGTTGATAAGGATGGCCAGTATCTTTTTGCTTTCACTTGGTAAGAACAGAAATACACCTGGACAGTAATGCCCCCCGGGGTTTCACAGAGTCTTTACTTTTCACAAACTTTTTTTTTTTTTTTTTAATTTTATTTATTTGACAGAGACAGCGAGAGCAGGAACACAAGCAGGGGGAGTGGAAGAGGGAGAAGCAGGCTTGCCGCTGAGCAGGGAGCCCGATGTGGGACCCGATCCCAGGACCCTGGGATCATGACCTGAGCCGAAGGCAGACGCTCAACGACTGAGCCACCCAGGTGCCCCTTTTCACAAACTTTTAAAAGCTGATTTGGTTGATAGAAAGTTTTCTGCAGGCTCTACTTTGTTAAAATATGCAGATGATGCTTCTCTGCTCCCCTTCTGAAACCTCTTCACAGGAAACAGCCTTCACCCTTGGCCTTAAAGGGACACAAAGTTTCCAAAGAAAAATTGCAGTTTGCTCAAACTCAGGTTCTATACTTAGGGCATTTGATCTTGAAACAAGGACTACATTTCCACCCAGATGGAACCCTTCATGACTGCTTAACTCTGACAGATTACCTTTTGACTCCCTGTGGAAATTTATAGGAAACTCAGCTAACCAATGCAGATTTTTCATGGTATACTGATAGTTCTTATTTAAAGGGTGAAAATGGTAAATATGCTGAGTATGTTATCGCATCTCTCTGAAGTCATTGAGATGGCAACTTCATCTTTTGATACTTCAGCCCTTACTCAGGCTTGTATTTTAGCCAAGAAAACCCTAAGCATTTATACCAATAGTCAGTATGCCTTTGGGGTAGTTCATACTTTGGAATATTATGGAAGCAACAAGGTTTCCTAACCTCCATTGGGAATAAAATTTAAAATGGCTCCTATGGGGGCTGGGTGGCTCAGTTGGTTAAACACCCGACTCTTGATTTTGACTCAGGTCATGATTTCAAGGTCATGATCTCAGGGTGGTGAGATCAAGGCCCATGTGGGGCTCCGCGCTGAGTGTGGAGCCTGCTTGAGATTCTCTCTCCCTCTTCCTCTGCCCCTCCACCCCTGCTCATGCTCTTGCTCGTTCTCTCTCTCAAAAAAAAAAAAAAAAATGGCTCCTATGTCCAAAATTTATTAGATGACATACTTTTGTAGGTTCCTGGGCATTCCAGACTCCAGTCCCTGGAGGCCAAAGTAAACCACCTACCTGATATTTCTGCCAAAAACATTGCTTCCAAGGAAACCCATAGCCAAACCTCTGTCATGTTCCAAAGGGATGTTCTCCCAAATCATAATTTGGAAAAATTGACTAGAGATACCCAACTATTGCCCCGAGAGAGGGAAAAACAATACTGGAAATCTAATTGTTGGCTTGATAAAAAGGGAGAACTCTGGTTTGGCCCAATTAACCATCCATTCCTGCAAGAAATTCTAAAATTCCCATTATTCACCACTCTGTATGCCTTAAACCACTGGTCTACTGACAAAATGCTAGCATTGAGGAACCAGTATTGGTGGGGAAATATGAATAAGGCTGCAGAAAGTACCTACCTTACTTGCTCCACCTGTCCCAAGTATAATCCTGGGAAACCTGTTTATATAGATTTCATATAGCTTCCCTGTCTCATGGATATAAATATGTTTTAGTCATAGTTTTCATGTTTTCTTACTGGACCAGACCTTTCTCTTGTAGATAGGCCAATTCTTCTGTGGCCAAAATTCTGTTAGAAAAGATTATCCCTACCTGAGGAACTTCTCCTGAACTTCACAGTGACCGGGGAACCCATTTTATTGGTCAGGTGCTTCAACAAGTCAGTGCTGTTTTTACAACACTTTTCATTGTGCACACCATCCTCACTGGCACTATTGAGACTCAACTGGCAAAATTTGTAGAGACCCTCCAGGTATTTGGGGTGAAAGCACTGTAATTGGTCCTTCTAAATCTCAGATCCACCCCCTTTGGAACTCACAGACTCTCACCCTTTGAGATAGTCACAGGGTGACCAATGCACTTGGCCCCTCTCTCCTTTGATGCTTAGCTGATAAAAGGAGATATATTTCAGTATTATAAAGGCCTGATTGCTTGTATTAGAATAACTATGCTTTTGTGGAGCAATGTTTTTCACCGTGTGCTTCCAGAAGACAATGACCTTAGGCATTCCACCTTGCTATCTGGAGATTTCATCTATTAGAAAAGGATTCCCGCCCCCACCCAAGATTTCGGCCTCGATGCAAAGCCCTTATCAGGAACTGCTTTGTGCCACCAAACTCCAGGGAAGACTCTTGGAGTCACAGGAAACATCTAAAGAAAGCACCCACCTCTGACTGGACCCGCACACCATCTGGTGACCTGAAAGTTAAGATTTCCCAGAATTGAAGCAGGGGACATCTTGTCAGATGTCCGGACAAGGCCCGTATACCTTTTCTCACTGTTGTTTCCTTTCTCTCTTTTGTGGAAAGATAATGCCCTTGTCTGCATTTCCCAAGCCCTGGTGAAAGGGAGAAACCTCCTTTTTTGATTACGGTCTTTAGGAAGTTGCCTCGTCTTGATTTCAGGACAAATTCATCTTTCACTTTCTTTTCCTGAAGTGTTAGAAGGTTCAGAATCTGCAAAAAGTCATCTGAACTATTCACCGACTTGGAATTCTTATCCATAGTCATGATTTTTGAATTTACAACTTTACAGACTGTATTACTAATAATACTTGGGCATAAATAGTTCTTTTGTGGTAACAGTACTGTTTAAAAATGTCTTTGAAGTTCTACTGTTTTGCAAAAAGTTCATCAGTGATTGCTTCCTGTTTACACTTAACACTGCATCTTCCCAAACGCACTCAGTTGATTCTTTCAGTGTGCTCCTGGAGTGGCCACTGTTCTCCTTTAAGAGAAGTCTCTAAGTGGAGACCTCCAGGAGTCATACACAAGTCCAGATTTGCCTCCATAGGGAGAACCTTTCTTCCTGAGGTTGGAATAAGTGCCAGTAAGTATTTCGGTTGCCAACTTTCAGACCTAGAGTCCTGAATTAGAACCATCCTACAATTTGGAATGGTCATGTTACTTTTTCTGTTGTAAAATTATTTGAAGTTTTGTATTTTGTTGCCCTTCAAACTTTAAAAATAAAAAACAATGTACCTAATAGGGTGATGCTGGCTCAACACCTCAAGATGATCTCCAGGGCTTAACCATCTTGGATTACAGATGGGAAGGGCCTGAGAGTTTCTCCCTCCTAAGCTTCCTTGTTATTCAAACATGGCGTTACATAGTTTCCAACTGCTGTGCACGCTCCCTCCAATATAGGACATGGCAACCAGGAAAGGTCCTCCTTGGCACTGAGGGACAAAACCACTAAATGTGGAAAACATGACTCTTGATCAGCAGCGCCTTTCAAAGAAAGTTCTCCATCAAAGGCGGAGGGGGGCGTGGGGAATGTGAAAATTAATAAAAGGAAACTGTGTTTAGGATGGAGGTGGGAGGCCAGCAGGGGGAACTCTCATGCCCAGCACTGGTCAACTGCAGAGCCAACAGGAAGAGTCACAGCTTACAGGGGCTACTACCTTAGCTGCCGCTTGACTACCCCAGCAGGAGGAAGAAAGGCTTTCCTCCTGCCCTGGCTGCAACCCAAAGAGAAACCACTCCACTGCAAACTCCCGGTTTACTCCGACGGCCTTTTAGTTTAGAACAGCCTCCCCTACATCCCCCTTTCCCCTTTAAAAGAACACTTCTCTTTGTTCTCCAGACTTGCCTGCGGTTTCGCTGAAGTGCTTGTCCTAGATTGCAGTTCTCCAGGACCCTGGGATCATGACCTGAGCCGAAGGTAGACGCTCAGCTGACTGAGCCACCCAGGTGTCCCTTCAATGAAAATTTAAAAACAATTTGGTTTTGATGCCAAAGACCACTCCACAATTCCAACTTTCTATTCAGGCCAAGAAATCGCAGAAATCTCATTAAAATGAGATTTTGAGAAGAATTGGAATTTTTTTTTGTTTTATTTTAGATCTATTCCCTCTACCACTCAAATAGACCTTGAATCTTAACGTGTTATAAAAAAATGAGGCCAAGACTTTTTTTTTTTAAAAGATTGCTTTTAAGTTTTCTTCATGTGTAGGAAATACATTTCCAACATAGAAAAAAAATTTAAATGCAGAAGTTTTGGTGTATATATTTCTGTGCAGTTTTCTGGGAAGGAGGGGCATAGCTTTCTTCAGCTTTTTCAAGGAGTCTGGTGTTCATAAAGGAAAGAGCTGGAGCATATGGTCAGGTTGGGTGCTGCGACCTCTTTTCCACCTGGTTCTAAATACTCCCAATCACTGGTTAGTTAGGCTGCTAGGTTCTCAGGATGCCTCTGCACTTCAGCCAGCTACCCTTTAAACCCAGAAAGCTCAGGAAGGTTAATCAGTCCAGTCCCTGGTCCTTAAATCAATCAATTCAGCAGTGAAGTTCTGCATGAATCTCCCAAAGGTAAACAGATTTCTATTTAAATGTTATTGTGCTCATTAGCATCAGCTGTTTTCATTATAAATATGCTGAGATGTTCTTTTCTAATCCTGTTTATAAATTATGCTTACTACTTTGAGATGTTGAAAAAAAATTTTTTTTCTGGATCCTCTGTGAGGAGCCTTTACTACCTTTCTCAACGGCCCCTTGTACCTGTTTGTCCTCTGAGCTTCTGCTCTTAGAAATTCTGGTTCATCTTCTGCCCCGAGGGTTTCTTCTTTGACTCCTTTACTGGTGTAGTCTTCCTCCTTCTACACTATTAAAGCATGGCTGCCCTTTAAGATCCAGTACTCACACTTTCCTGTTTTCTTTCTACATTTGTTCTGCAGAGTAGCCTGCCCCGTTTCCACTGTCCGTCCAGGCACCTCCATCCAAGCCTTCAGCTTTGTGCACTGCAGCCTGGCTTCCTGAGGCACGGTAAGTACTTCTAGCTGGTATGTGGTTTATTTCAGTAGTTCGATATTGATTTGAATGCTGCCTTCCATGTATGGCAAGAAATACTGGTTTCCAGTCACATTAGTTATAGGAAGTTTCCTATTTAAAAGTACACTTAAAATAAAAAGAAATTGATTGAAAGCAGGGGTTGACAGACTTTTTCTGTAAAGGGCCAAATG